TTATCTATTAGAAATCGAACTTTTAAAACTTAAAATTATAAAGTTGGAAAGGTTGAGGATTGTGGAGTTGGTAAAAATATGGAAAACTAACAAGGATAATCCCTCCACAACAGGTAATAAGAATTTCTCCATCTCATAAGTGGATAGTACTCCGAAATTCATTTCGCCTTGCATCTATATTTGAATAATATAACGTTATAAATTTTTAAAAACTTATTCTACTATTCTTAATTGAAAACTATTCTTTTATTGTGAAAATAATCTTTCAGTACCTGTTCTACGACGGAAGTATAAGGTTCTTCCGTAATAAGGTGTAAATTCGATGATACTTCTAAGTTTCGGAATAGCTCGTTTATAGGAGGAACTTCCGGTAATTCTAAAGCCGCTGCTGCGTTCAATTCTTTATGCCTATGAGAAATAATTGTGATATAACATTTCTCTTATTAACACAAAATTTGAAATTTAAAATTCATCAAAAAATTCTAACTTATTAGATTATTAATATGTTTAAATAATAGTAAAATTGAATATTGCAATTAAACATTGTAGAATCAAATTTAAACAAGATTTCCAGAAGAGTAGTGCTCCAAAATTTAGAACTGTACCTGTTTATTCCGATTAATTTCCAGCTTATTTCGAACATGTAATCTATGATAAAAACAAAATTAATACGAATAATAGAAAATAATATTTATCATTGTAAGAATTGCGAAATATAAATTTAAGTTTCGATGCTTGATGAAAATACCTTGAAAAAATTTCGCTTGATAGAAAAGTATTTTCGTAACACCGTACATTAATTGCGAAGAAAGGTAAAGACTAAATCTGCCACACTTTCTTCCATTTCGTAATTCAATTGTTGATAAGATTTCTTCACTAAAAGTGCAAGAATAAAAAATATTCGTATAAGAATAATTATTTATTCAACAACTAAATAAAAATGAATAGAAGTCTATAGTACAATGATAATGAAGTAAAGAAATAGCGATATTAATAGGTAAATTTAAAAATGTGAAAACAATTAAAAGAATGAATAAAGCATTTTACCAAATAAGGGATACATCCATGTTTTTAATCAATGCTGGTTTACAAGTTTGTTTAAACATTTTCTCACTGACAGTCGCGGCCAACCAGCATCGTGCCAGTTTGCCTTTCCGTCGAAGAGAAAGAAGTTCAGGTGCGTAAAACATCAAGAAATTAAAAAATAAAGCAACAATTCAGAGATAACGTGCAAACCGACAAAGCGCTGATTTTTGTTTCGGCCAGATTCAACGAAAACGAGTATGTATTATTAAGAAATCGATTGATCGATTTACTGAAGCGCCCTCAATCTAGGAAATTTAAAATCATGTAGGTATCAATTACTGCATACTTATATTTATAATAACCTTCTTTTTGCTATAATATAATATTAATAAGTTTGCTTGTCATTTATTTTGAGAAATTTACAATATTATTCTAACTTTAGTTCCATAATCATGTTTAATACTTTAACTGTATATTTGTTAACAATAAGAGTTAAAATGCTTGAATAGTGCGCCATATCGTACTTGTGCGCAAATACAACAGCGCATTGAGGAAAATCATGTATATACTACATAAATATGATTCATAAGAACATTTAACATGCAGATAACATTTTTTTCTTTTTAAATCTTTTTGTTATATATTATTTTATCTACACTGATTACAAGTAAAAAACATCATAATTCGAAAGTACTATATATACAGTGAACTTGAATCACAGTTAATCCTTTTGAGTTGTCACTTTCTGTCAGTTTCCGAATAACCTCTATTGCAATCCTACGTGAGAGTATGAAAGATTATATCAATTTACTTTAGCTGTGGCAAGGACGATTCAGCAAACATGTTTTCAAGTGGACCAAATTACACAAAATTGAAGACGCATTTGCGTCTAGCAATAAATAGGCTAAAGTTGCTGGAGAAAAAGAAAACAGAGCTTGCTCAAAAAGCACGAAAAGAAATAGCCGATTATATTGCTGCGGGAAAAGTAGAAAGAGCAAAAATACGTGTGGAACATATTATTAGAGAAGATTATATGGTCGAGGCTATGGAATTGCTCGAAATGTATTGTGATCTTTTACTTGCGCGTTTCGGACTTATTCAGCAAATGAAGTAAGTACATCATTGCGATGATGACTAGTTGTTAAATATTACTAAGAACGATCACAATTTCATTACTTAAATTTTTAGTAAGAACATAATTATATAAGATCGATATTTCATTAATAAAAAATTATTAATAATTGTCAATGGCATATGAATTTTAATTTATGTACTTCATATTTGTTCTTATAGAAACTTAGACGATGGATTAGCAGAAGCTATTTCTACTATAATTTGGGTTGCTCCTAGAATACAAACTGATGTTCAAGAAATCAAAGTAATTGCTGATATCTTGACATCTAAATATGGAAAACAATATACAGAAGCCTGTAGAGAAGAAGCAATACAAACTATTTCTGAGAAGCTAAAGCACAAAATGAGTGTTCAATCACCACCTAAACTTCTTGTAGAAAAGTATCTTATAGAGATTGCAAAAAATTATGATGTTGCATATGAACCAGATCCACAGGTAAAAATAATGAAATAGTATTATTAACAATAAGAACAATATTTTTATTTCTATTGTGCTAATAAATGTATTAATTGCAACATTACAGATAATGGCAGAAGGTCAAGATGCTTTATTGATAGATGTTGGAAACAGTGGAGAAAGGAACAATTTAGACATAGCTTCTGGGGGTGGCATACCACAGCCAGTTGGATTTATTGGCTTCCCCCAGCCTCCATTATTACCAGATCCTGCATCCAATTTAACTGTAAGTAATTCTCTCTTTTTTTTTTATATATTTTTTAGTCAAATTTTGATTTATATTTCTTTTTTTTTAGAATTCAGAAAAAGGACCTATAGGATTTGTAACTCCATCAGGAATTTCTCAAAATAAAGATCAAAACGTTCCTTATAATCCACCTAACGTTTCTTACAACATTCCTTTAGACAATTCTAATGATGACAAACCTGTGAGTGATATAACATAAATTGTATTAACTAAATTATTTGACAATTAAAAATTTTTATTTATTAAGGAAAATGATTTGCCTCCACCATACGCATCGTTTCCACCGGATTTAAATAAACAGGTAATTCAATAATGAACAGTTAAAATCAATAAATATGAAACCGGCGTTATAATTAGCTGTATTAAATTCTTTGATATATCATTTTAGTTTTCTATTTAAAAAGTGAAACATTTCAAATAAGTATCAATTAAAACTTTATAACATTTTCTTTCACTATATGACTCTGTGGTACATTATATATATCTGTTATATATTTACGTTATACATTTACTTATCATTTTTTATTACAGTCTGACCAGAAACCAAAACCACAACCGCGGTCGAAAATGCCGATGAATGATTTTCAGCTTCCAGATTTGCCAGCTGTGCCGTCAGACAATGATTTACCCTCCAATAATCCATCTACTAGTGAAGATATTAATTTTGATGATTTAATTCAGCGCTTTGAAAATTTAAAGAAAAGAAAATAGTTTCTCATGTTTGTAAAAATGTGTTACATATAGGTTGTACTATAGTAAATGTAGGTACAACTAAAAATAAGTAATATTTTTGAAATTTAATCAACTCAATATTACATTAGTAATAAGGAATATTGTAAAACATAATAGTGTTGACAAAATATTATTTACAACACTTCTACAATATAAAAAATATTTACAAATAGATTCCACCTAAAACAACATTAATATTATAAAATGCTTAACTATACGACCTTTTTCAGGTAATTGAAATTAATCACTTTCAGATATTTAATATTTTTATTAAATATTCTAAAAAAGGGTGACTGGGGCCTTGACTTTTTCAATGCTTTATGCTTGTGAATGACAAACTACTCACACTACGACTTTGCAATATTACTGTACGCATCATTGTCGCGCTAAAAGCACTACAAGCATCTCTCATTAAAAAGATATTCAACATTTTAATGTTACTCAAATCTATAAATGTTCCTTTTACAATACATATTGTACTATTTGATAGATATGAATTACAATATTGCTGCAATTAAAAAAAAAATAGAAAAATATAATATCAAAAAATATGAAATTTGAAATACTGTTTGTAAATATTGTACAAATACACGTAAAACCGCACATTGTATACTATCAATATAAATGACACCATTGTAATATACATAACGCTTTTAGAAATATTACTTTTTAATGTAACTAAAATTTAAATACAAATTATTTTCACTTAAAATATAAATGATAATCGTTTTACAAAAATAATAATTTTTGTTAATATTTTAAATGCTTTTATTTTTTTGTACGCTTAAATATATAGATCTAAATACAATGTTATTGTTGTGTACACATCATTTTACCACATTTAAGGTAACTGCAATAAAACTAGGTTTCTTAATTTTCCCAATCTTCACAATTCTGAAAAAAATGTTTATGTTAAAAAATTAATTTCAATAAATTTAAAGTTATAACAAATACATATGTGGCGGGACACCTCCTACGCTCCACCACCAGAGGGGGCGAACTAACCACCAATTCTCACAATCCTCACTAAGCTACGGGTCTCCTAGGTAGCCTCAGTAACGAGTCTAACTAGGAAGCTCAAGACAAAATATAACCTTTGTTTTTCCGTCTATCACTTTCCTCCTGCTTATCGTCACCGCCAAACATATAAGTATTATAAAAGTCTCACTTGTTGTCCTTTTTCTGCCAAACACGTCAATAAGTTTTGCGAAAATTCACATTTTTCCCTTTTATTTGACTCAAGATAATGAAAACATTCTATAATTGATTCTTCAACAAAATCTTTCAATTCTGGGTCATGAATATTTTGACTCATCAGAGGGATCACAAAGTCTTTTTCTGGAAATCCCTTCTGATCTACCTATTATTCAGCAAGTAAAATTTAAATTATACATCAATGTTTATAAAAGAAAATGTATTAATTATTATGTAAGTGAAATAATTGTCCTTTTATTTACATATTAAGTGAATACTTCGAATTTTACTTACAGCATTCAATTCATTGAAGAAACATTGTACAATACACTGTAACATTAAAGTATTTAATTGTATATTTAATTTAAAGGCTTGCAAAGCAATGATAAAATATCAAATTTGAATAATCTGTAATTCTTACAGCTTGTTCTCGGTCAGTATTGTTATTAAAGCGCATATCATCGTTACTCGTGTCTCCATTATTAAAATCACTTGTTCTATTACGCGAATCTCTTGAATTCCACAAATCTCGATCGTTGACCTTACGAGTATGTTTTATATTTTGAAAGTCTCTGAGATTTCCATTGGTAGAATGATCAGACGAATATGTATTCATATCGTTATTTTTGTCGGAATTTCTATATCCATTAAGAAATTAATTAATAATTTATCAGCAATTTCAAAAGTAAAATGTATGGTGTAATGTGTATATTGTGTAATTTTTATTTCATATGCGAGAGACAATTATTATAAGTACACTTATTATCAGTTATTTATTATTTAAATCGCACCTATATCTCTGGCTGTTCGTGGACTGATTGTTGAAAGATCTATAACCCTTTTTATAGAAAAAGTTTTTATCGTACACATCATCCTCGGAACTAGAATCACTTCCTGAATTACTGCTCTCCGTAGACATAGACTCTTCAGAATTATTCATATTAGTACCAACATAGCGATTTTTGCATGTTTTTAACACTTTTTGAAATTGCATGTCTACTTGTTGATTCCCAGAACGACATTTTAAAGACTAGAAAAGTAATTCTTTTCGTATTTATAGTAATAAAAATTCTTAGTACAGTGCTGTTCAATAAAATACGTTATATGTCATTATCACAATAATTAGCAATAATAATAGTAATATTAGTACTTGTTCTATTTAATTTTTTAATTTTAATTTTAATTTCAACTTTAATTAAAGTTTACCAATTTCGTATATTATAAATATAACATGATAGAAATTTTTCATTTCTGAAAACAACTTACAACACCCTCACGAAGGAAATATACGAAAACGCAATATAAAGTAAACGAAACAAGATTTTTCATGATACACGTTGTCAACGTATCGTCGAATGAACTTACGATTATTGAAAACACGTTCCCTTACGGCCAAATATATAAACGAAATTAACAGGAAAACATGCTGACGTTAATTGCGTGTCATTCCATCTTTGAAAAGAATTTGAGTTCAGTGGATGTTTCGGTGACACGATGTATCCTGCATTATTCACTTCCGGTTAAACGCGAATTGTGTAATTCTAATTGACATGAACGTCAGGGTTTTCATTGTCTTTTCAGAACCTTTTTGTAATCAGGGAAATGTGTATTTCATAATTCTACATAAAAATGAATTAGTAACAACAGTTATTTGTTTACTTTCTTTGTATTCAAAAGTAGTACTTAATGTAGAGATGAGATACTTTTAAAGATTACGAAAGGAATGTAATTTACCGCCATTTGGAGCATCCAATGGTATCGATTGTAATCATACAAGAAATATAGGAGAGGGAGGAGGAGTAAAAGAGAGAGGAAATATGAAAGTAATCAAAGAATAAACCGTAAGAAAAATTGGACAGTAATTCTTGTGAGAATTTTACGAGGGAACTGTCATTCTTCCGCTTAAGAAACACAGGATGCGTATTAAACTCCTTGTAAGTAACGATTTTCCTTCTTTATAGTTTTGCGAACAAACCGACCAACAGTTAAACTTTACCTATTCGAAATGATTAAAAAATAATCGAGC